CGCGCGAAAGCCCCCTAGTGGAGAATAGAGACACTACTAATCGATCCCAGAAAAGGCTTACTAGCCGATCACTGATGTATAGATTGCAGTTCTCTTAAATAACATGAAAGCCATTAATATAACATGAAAAATAATAAACTCTTAACCATTTTCTTACCATATTTACATAATTTTTGTTCTTATATCAACTGATATGAATTAGTATTAACTGAACAGTTTTATATGCAGTAGTCCTTCAACCTGTCACACTTGCACCCTCATACAACATGGCCTTTAGTTAGAAATCAGAAAGTCTTCTTTTCTTTACTTGAGAGTTTTCACACCACTGTTAAATCTACAACTATTTGATGGCAAATATCTTTTGTGTAAGAATGCAAAGTTTGACAAATATACTGCAGCATTAGCTACTAAGCATGACTGAGCTCCACTAAGGGTCAAACAGATAATGTCATACTACATCAGAGAATAACTACAGCACTGCTGCTGAACAGCACGCCATAAGCTATGCTACAGTGACATGACCTGTGTACCAAAGCAGGATCTATTTTCATAATGACACCTGAAGCTGTACTTTAGGAGACCTACATAAAATTCCTCGCCGTGCATCGCTACTTTTCTCTTCCTACTTCCCCTCGCATGCTCCTCGTGCCTCTGTCTCTCAGAGCATTGTTAAGGCTCTCAAATAACCAGATAAAGATGACGCTGGGGAACCTGGGCTTAGACAGCAGCAGAACAAGAAAAAAGAAAGGAAGACAGAGTTTTAAAGTTGGGTTATATCATAGTGTGTGTGCGCGTGTGCGTGGGTGTATCTGGGAGATTGCGCACTTTCTGCTTTGGAGATGTTTTTTTATTATCTCAAATGGGGAGGAGAGAGGGAGAAAGGGGTGAAGGAAGGAGGAGGAGGAGAGGGGGAGAGAGTAGGTCTAAAGAGCTGGAAGAGAAGAGGCAGGACTGGGGAACTGGAAACATGAGATAGGCGAAATGACTGCATATTGGCACTCAAATGGGATATATCATGGAGTATATGAAAATAAAACCACATGTGCAATCTGGAGAGGCAAGATAAAGCATTTTTATTCTGCAACTTTTCTGGAAGAAAGTACAAATGAATAAAATATTTACCCATATAAATATATTTCAAACATATATTTTGTATGTGGTTAGTTAAGATATGATTATGAGATTACGTGTGCATAGTGTAGGTAGCTCTACTGATGTGAATTCAGTAAGAAAGTGTTAAATCACCCAATAGTTAAATTTATTCTGTGATATTTTCCAACCAGCCACATCTTTTACAACACCTCCTCATACAGTGACTCACAGATACATATTTGCAGAATTTCTCCACACACAGATGACCAGTAATTAAAACGCTTCAAGCTTCACAAAGTTACATTTAAAGGTGCATCATGCAAAAGATCCAACATTGCTCTCTGCAACACTTTGGGGTTTAGTCCTACATAAAATAACCAACAGGAAGTTTTTGCCACTTCCTGGCGGTGACTGTCTCGGAAAAACAGTTAAAAAAATGTAGGCATACCCCTAATTTTAAAAGTGCCCACTGCATAACAACTATGCAGGGGGAAACTGTTCTTAGACAAGAACACTATTGTACAGGACTGATGATTTCAGCCCTGTAAAACTGGACGTTTTAACATGGGAATGTATGGAGCCAGCCTCAAGTGGGAAAAAATGCAGTTTTTAGCCTTTTCACCTTGGCTTGACTTCAGACAGCTGTGGAGCATGCGTGAGCACGGGGCATCTAAAGATTGAAAGGCTGGTGGATCAGTCGCTGGCTTCTCCATGTTTCTGTGGAAATATCTTTGGGCAAATAACTGCCCTCAGTGCATCCACTGGAGTGTGTGTGTATCAATGTAAAAGTGCTGTACACTGTCTACGTGATTGGGTGAGTAGGACTTGCTTTGAATGTTTGCAGCACTGCAGCCTCCATTTCTTCATGTTTCTACAGCAGAGCTGCTGTGGCGAGTGCTTTGAGGTCTCTTTGGGCTGGTTTTAATCTTTGCTTTCTGTTGTGGGCTTTGTGTTCACACGTAAACACTAGAGTTCAGGGATATGTGTCGGTGCATGGATTTATACTGTCAACTGGTAATTATGTGACAATGAGTTTTAGGTCCATTTATGGCCTTGCGAGAAAGTAATGTAACAAGCAGTTTAACACATTACTCTGGTAGTTAAGTAACAGACTGCATTACAGTAACCAGTAATGTGTTCTTTTTTTTGAGTCACGACCTCCAACGACTGGAGGGGACATTGCTTACCACTCATACTAAAGTGCCTCCTTTACATGTGGGAACAATAAGTTTTGACTGTTCAGAGATTTGTATAACCAAGTAAAGTCAATCAAATGTTTTAAAAACAAATAATAAATAATAGGATGCTTCATTTGTGTGTTTAGTTTCAGTGAAACTTTGTAAATTTCGAGTTGAGTTGCTCTAAATTTTAGCTTCGTTTTAGTTTTTCACTTTCCTGCCAATGTGTCACTTAGACTTCTTTTAGTCAAATTGGTTGAATTCTTTGTAACAGACTGAAAAAAGATGATGCTTCACCTTTCTCAACCCTTTTAAGTTGTTGGGATCTTTAAAAGGGGCTTTTTTGATATCTCTTCACCAACTCTTCACATTTTTGTCAGATGGAACGTGATCCTATTTTCTTTAGGGCTACAGGTCTTCCAAAGCAGATGTTCATGTGCTAAGTTTGGAACAAGTCTTGGTTTGTCTGGGCTGAATAATATGTAATGAACCAGACTGAGTCAAGAAAATGGGCTGTCTGTGGTTACCACAGAGGCTCAAATGCATTCTGCTGTTACAGAGGTAATAAATTCATGATTTATGTGAAATGTATGTGACGCTCTCCTGATAGGGAAGGCCCGGAATTATAGTTGCCGTAAATGATGACAGGAAAAAAAAAATAAAGCTCAGTGTCTCAGAAAATGATTTGGAGCTCTTCAACAGCGTGACAGGAGAAAATGCAAGAGTGTGACTGATTTACAAAATACGCTAATGTGGGTTTTACATGTTGCCATTTTTCATGTGTCACTTACTTGAGAGACAGGCCTTCAAAGATGAGAAATGTCTTCTTAGATCAAAGGTATCTTACAGAAACTTGTGTCAGAGTGATTCCTATCATCAAAGAGTCCTATGCTCAGAAGCACAAGATTGGAAATGAAGTCCTATAATCACCGGTGTCCCATAATAAGAACAGCAACCGCTGTGGCCACAAGTCCCACTATTACAATAATGGCACAATCAATGACAGCAAGTTACATTTAACAAATGCTATAATATGGGTTTCCTAGCAATGCTAAAAACATTGGGTCTTAGAGTTATTTAGGCGGGGTAAGGTGTCTAATTTTGAGTCAGTTTCTATTTTTGCAAAACTTTTGAAATGTTTATATATAGGTGGAAAAGTAAGAACGGTCTAACTTAGCTTTCTGAAACTATCTAGAGTAGGGATGCACCGATACCGATACTGGTATCGGGACCGATACTGTAAAATGTGTGTGTACTCATACTCGTAAAAGTTAACCGATACCATGAACCGATACTAACTTATTTCATTAGTCAGAGGGTGGCTTGTCATTTCTGTTGTAGTTTTTTAGATTGGTCACTAGGGGGACATCCCGCGCTAAACAGGCACAGGGTTAGACGAGTCAGACTGGCAGCTCCAGATAAAAAAGAGAAACTGGAGGCTGCTGTAGCTAGGCTAAACAAAATGTCAGCAGTGTGGAACAGCCAACTTTAACTCAGGCTTTGGAAAAGCGATGAAAAATGTCAAGAGAAAATCCACGGGCAGTGTGTGTGTGTGGTAGAAGTATCATTTTTGTACTCAGTATCGGCAAGTACTCAGATCCAAGTATCGGTATCGTATCGGTTTGAAAAAATTGGTATCGTTGCATCCCTAATCTAGAGTAAAACCAACAGAGGCTATAGCAAGAATTCCCTGAGTGCTTTGACCAATAAATCTACCTTTTCATTTGTTACTCCCAAATACTAACACATCTCATATATGTCCATTGACCTTTGAACCATTCCCTCTTTCAGGATCATTAGTGTGTTCATCTTAAACCATTCTAGATCTGGAGAAGAAGAGCCACGCCAGCTAAGGTCCACTTGGAGGGGTTTTCTTTGGTCTTCAGGTTAAAGGTCCATACGTATGTGGGTCCCCTCTGACGAGTCTTATAAACAGGGCACTGGTAGAGGTTTCTGTTGTCCCATTTGTCCACTGGGATAGCCTTGATGAACATGACCGGCATGGTTGGGGTGAGCTCTTTGAGTCGGGCATCCACAATCAAGCCAGTCTGAAAGGAAAAGAAATAAAGAAGGAAAGTCGGGGAGATGGGAAGGAGAGGGAGGATGTGAAGGAGGAATGACAAGCCAATCAACCACAGACAGGAACATTTCACAGAACAGAAGAAGTTATAAATTAGTTTGAGGTTTGAGGAAGCTTTGCTCAGATGCTGTGCTTGCCATTGAGCCTCCATTTAATAATCATTTCGTGCCAGAGCAAAGAAAAGAAAAGAAAAGAAAAGAAAAGAAGCTGTTTGGCTAATCTCGGTTGGCACAAGCAGAGTAAGAGTTTGTTAAACACAGTTTTGCGGCACCCTTGAAAAGTGGTGAAAGTCAAGAGAGTCTGAGCTGAAGTCGAGCTACCCTGTCTTAGTATACACACTCTCTAAACAGTCGGAAACAGAGTGGTCTGTCTCGCTAATTAATCCTCCTACAATTAGCTCCTGACAAACAGAAGTTTCTCCATGCATGCACAGTGACTTTCAGGAATGAATGTAAATCCTGATGACTTTGGAAAGCAAAGAGGACAAAGCCCGGACTGCATCTGCAATTCCTACAACACTTTAAAGAGTTGCTAAGTACCAATAACTTTATATCTGTTTCGGGTAAATAACAATGATGAGGATCCTAAAGTGAGCAAGTCGTTATGGTAAAAGTGGTAAATGGCCTGTATTTGTATAACACTTTACTTAGTCCCTAAGGACCCCAAAGCACTTTACACTACATTCAGTCATTCACACACTGGTGATGGCAGCTACATTGTAGCCACAGCTGCCCTGGGGCGCACTGACAGAGGCGAGGCTGCCAGACACTGGCGCCACCGGGCCCTCTGACCACCACCAGTAGGCAAAGAGTGAAGCGTCTTGCCCAAGGACACAACGACCCAGACTGTTTGAGCCGGGGCTCGAACCGGCAACCTTCCGATTACAAAACAACCTGCACACTCTTGGGCCACGATCGCCCAATTATAAATTGTCCTAATGATGCTGTATCTACACTCTTACTACACTAGCGAATATCCATTTTGATCGTGTGCTCACACAACATATTGAAAGAATAAAGTATATCACAAAGCAGGACATCAATAAGTAGTGTCCATCACAAACACAAATCATTTCAAAGGACATATCTGTGATTCCACATGCAATACATGCTGTCTGAACCATCTCTGAATAAAATGTAAGGTTCATTAATATAGATTAGGTTTAATATAAATCTTTGACTTTAATGGCTGCACAGAGCATTGTCCAAACGGAGCGCTGCATACTCGCATATTCACACTCTGCTACTCCCTGCCAGTGGCACAGAACTGGTCCTGGGGCTGAGAGGAGAATGAGTAGGAGGAGAAGAGTTGTGTGAGTGGAAGCCACCCAGCCTGTAGGGCTGCCTGTCTATTTGCCTGCGCCTCCAACTTTAATGAAGAAAAAAGGAACCACTCCTCCAAAGGGTGATCTAAGTGCTCAAGTGCACACTCTGCACATTCCCTAATTAAGCAGTCTAGTGGGATGCACCTTGAAAGCTGGGCACATATGCAAAGCTTGAATGTATAGAGATAGAAAGAGCTTTGGGAAGCTGAGTAATGTGCTATGCCCCAACAGCTGAACACAAGCAGGTTGCAAAGCAGAAAATGAAGCCACTAAGGAAATGTGAAGGTGCTTTTTTTGTGAGCTTAAATGAGGTGAGGGTCAGCTCACCTCATTTAGATATATAGTCTGAGGAGCTTGCAAGTGAAAGCGTGTTGTGATGTTGTAGCAACTTTCTGTAGCGACTTTGCGGCAGTCAGCTAAACAAGGAAATCAATAAAAACTCAGGTACCTGTGTGTCCCAGCGTGCACCCTCCATGTACAACCCGTGTATGTAGGCCCCTTCACGAGGTGGAGAGCTGAAGTCCTCGCGATTCTTCTTTGTGACATCACACTGCAGACACATACTGTCCAGGGGCCACTCGTTTCTGCCGCATAACCACAAATTTCCTGTTAGCAAGCCACGTGGTTTCCATCATTTTCTTATATCTTAATGCTGAGTAGCCCTACCTTCTCGCCATAGCCTGCATGATGGCTGTGAGAAAGGACTGAGGGTTAAAGAAGCCAGCCAGCCACACTGCAGAAGGTAAGATGAAATCAGCTGACCAAGCTTCCAGCTCCCTGATCCTGGCCAGCAGGTCAGTGAACCACAGGGCCAGGCCAGACATGGAGGGGTATGCCCGTTTGGTCCAACTCTCTGGCACCATGTCCAGGAAGATAGCATTCTGAAGGTTTTCCATGTCACTGGTCATGGTCAGCTCTCCCTGATGAGCGAGGGTTAAAGGAGAGAGAACAGATGAGATAAAAAAAATATACTGCTACATGTTAAAGAAGTAATAAAAAAATCTTGTTTCATATTTCTCCTTTCATTAATTTCTGCAACACACTGACATTAGAGCACCTGGTGTTTTAGCTACAATCCCACTGATACAACATTGACATCTTCCAACAAACAACCTGCATGATGATCTGCTGGATGATCTGCTTGATTTGGGCTTTAGGCAGTGTCCTCTGGATTGCACCTCACCACCAGCGGAGAGGGAAGGAGCGAGGCTAAATGAAATATTAGCCACTCTTTATATCCTGTGTATCCTATTAATTCTGCAGCGTTTTCAGTAAATATCTTTCTATGAGCATAGCAAAGCTATTTCTTCCTGTTGTGCATGGCTGAGCACAGTCAGGAAAGAGGTACAAAGTGGTGTTGCTAGACAAAAAGGACTGCGGATAGCTGGATAGCTAAAGCCTCCGTCACACAGACCTAGAGACAGTGGTGTATTTCCTGACCAGCTGGTGTGTGGTTACTAGAGGCTGTTGCTGGGTGAGGTTGGCCTCAAAGACAGTGGTATACGAAAAACCTTCCTGTGATTGCTTTGGTAGCTAGGAGACTGCTGTGGTTGCCTGTAGATTGCGTGGAAGATGCTGCCTTGCCTGCAAACACTTGCTAGCTAACACAGAGTATGCTAACTAACCACTCAGCCATAGTGAAAATTAAGAAAGTGTGATGCGAAGTTGTGCCTTGTCGTTTGGTTGGCTGATATGGATGTCTGCCTGAGTGAGGTTGACAGGAAACAACTGTGAAAAACTGAAACAACTGCAGGTATGGGCTTGTTTTGATATGACATATATTTGATATGATACATACATCAAGAGACATTATCCTAAACTGGACTAACAAAGGACCATGAGTCCAACATGAAACTTACCTTACATAACGCTGAAGTTCATTAATAATTTTAATCAAAAACTGAAATATTTTTTACTGAACATGCAAACATCTGCTGATGAAAATGTGTTGATTTATTGGTCTGTTATGAAGCAATTGCTATTTCTAATCTGTTTTTATCACTTTCTGATGTTTTATTAATTAAACAATACATGTATTAATTGTTGTGTTATCCATAGATATAGTATTTACATATATTTATTTATAGTATAGTAGAAATGTTTAATTATTTATGTTTAAATGACTAATATGTGACATGTATTAGTAGTGATGTGGTGCTGATGGTTAAAATGCCTTTTTGTCTTTTGGTATATTATGAAATGGCAATAAACCATTAATATATGTCTATGCTGTGCTCATATTTGTTTTACCCTACTTAAATTCAATTTATTTTATGATACATTTTATTTTGAAAGATTTGAAATGGTTCTTTAAAATGTTTTTTTAAAGAACCATTTGAAGGACCTTTTTAAAAATGGTTCTTTGAAAAACCATTAAAGGTGCCCCAAAGAACCATTTCTTGATGTTTCTTTGGGGCACCTTTAAAGGTTCTTCAATGAACCACTGAAAGAAATGGTTCTTCAAAGAACCATTGTTTGAAAGGTTCTTTGTGGCACCAAAAAAGGTTCTTCTATGGCATCAGTCTAAAGAACCACTTTTGGTTCCAGTTGGCACCTTTATTTTTCTGAGTGCACCTGTCATGTTTGGTTCTTTTGCCATCAGAATTATTGTCTAAAGGCCAAGAAAGATGCCCAACGGATTTACTTTACCAAATGGACCATCCCAGCCTTGCCGTATTGGTCCATTTGATTGACCTTTGTTTTTATTGTTTATTTTATTTTATTTTCACTTGCTACACACGGGACAGACATGACTGGGGGAAAGAAAAGGGAGAAAGAAGGAGAGGTAGGGAAAGAAAAACAGCGGGGAAGAGGAACGGTGATAAAGGGCAAAAAACAAAAACAAATAAAACAAACAGACAAAAAATACATAATCAATCACCTGGATCAGCTGTTGAGAAAGAAAAAAGAGAAAACAAGCAAAAAAAAAAGAGAGCAAAATAATAAACAACAACATCACGGTAATCTGTGTGAATATAAAAGTAAATACTAAATATTGAATATTATTGTGCAGCACATAAGATCAACAGCACACAGTGTGCTTTCAGGTAGGAAGGTAGGGTGAAATTTGTGTCTGTGAGCACCCGTGTGTACACCTGTGAGCATGAGCGCGCTTCTATTCAAAAGGTTCCTTCATGTAATGATCTGCTAGAGGGTGTGGGGAGCCACAGCCCCGTCCTCCAGGGCATGAAGCAGGTATGGAGGAGATCAAGACTCCAGATATCCAGAGACCCTCAGAGCACCAGAGACCAAGGAAGACCAACGACTTGTAGTTACATGGTGGGTGCAAACTGAGGTCTAGGCCTGACTTCATAAATCTACCACTATAATAAATTAAAGAACACTTCTATGTCGGCATTACAATAACAATAGGTTATCCCACATGCAGAATTCTGAGACTACTCCCTTGGTATTCCTTTGAAGTTCAGTAATTTCAAGACATTTCGCTTTAAAACAAACATGAACCTCTGAAACTCGGTCCCTCAGTATTGGTGCCCCTCAAAGATGCGTCCTCTCACCACTACTGTTCTCCCTCTACACTAACGACTGCACCTCCAAGAACTCGGCTGTTAAACTCCTAAAGTTTGCGGATGACACCACTGTCATTGGCCTCATTCAGGATGGTGATGAGCGGCTGGTACTCTGGTGCAGTCAGCACAATCTGGAGCTGAACACTCTTAAAACTGTAGAGATGACAGTGGACTTCAGGAGA